TTAGGTTCATGGGGCCTGTGGTAGGTCAGCAGAGATGTAACACATAGGCAATATGTCAGGGGTCACTCTCTGCTGGGGTGCCATTGGATCCTCAGGGTCTTCATAATTTATTTCTACTAATTTACTTGGACCCATTAGGGATATTTGGGTTTGTGACTCTGCTTTAAGCAAAAACAATTAAGCCAACATTTTGTCATCAAACAACTGTCCACTTGTCTAATACTCTTTGTAAATTCAGAGCAAAAGAGAGATGATGGAAGAGTTGAGATAGGAAAGTGCCTTCAGTTTCAAGTAGGAAAAGAGCCATTGCGTTTTAGAAGCCTTGGAGCAGTAAGGGAGAGTTATTAAGCTGTATCTTTCAGAGAATTTGAGGAAGAAAAACAGAACCAAGATTGTTTAGTCATGTACAAAATACAAAGCCAAGTCCATTTCTTTATGTGGTAGGATTATTGCTCTGAGAGTTGAAGGTAGTTGATGATGAATCTGTATTACAAAGAGATATTTTGGTATTTCTTTTAGAACTTCTGTGGGCATGATAGAGAGGGGCTAAATGCTTCATAGATGGTTTATCATTGGTTGGACAATAATACCAAAGTGTCTTTGTCAACCCAGTGAGTGATTTCTAGAATAGAGTGAACTCTTTCAGGCTGGGAAAAGTAACCACATTACCCAAGCCCACCAGCTTCTTTCCACAAGACCCATAACTGTCTCACACCTTACTGCAAATCTCTGTGGTCTCCCTGATGATATTAGCTGTAGAGTCATTGGACCTCATTCCTGTCATTCAGTTGAATCAAGTATCTTATTTTTGAAGAGGCAGATTAAGAGGTAGCAAAAATAGGAAGACTGTTTTATAAATCAACAATTTCTTAGCTTAAGGACAGCCAAGCTTACACATGCTTGGCTCATATACTTTGCTATGCACACATCTCACTTTCTCTTTTTTTTTCCCCTTGTTTTCTGGGTTGGTGGTGGGGAAGCTATTGCATTCTTTTCCACCCTGAAGAAGGAGACCCTTAGTTATTATTTGTCATGCTGGGGTGCACACTCTGCTCTAGAACCCTCTTTCTAGTCTTAGCTCTGTAAATAACACCTTCTGTCTCCAGATTGTCTTGTGATTCTTTTATGTGTAACCTTCCTCTAGGAAAATCTTCAAGGGTGTTACACTTTGTCGTTCTTGACAGGCTTTGTAGCTCTAGGCCTTTGTGAGTCCTACCCCCACTGTGATTGGTTAGGTTCATCCACAGAAGAGCCATGGGCTGTGGTAAGGAGAGTTGTCCTGGTATAAAGCTTGGCTTCATCCAAGCCAGCAGGTGGGGTTCAGCACTCTGTGGTCACATTGGCACTAACTGTCTCAGGGTAACTTCTGCCCTGACAGAGTGGGCCCTATCCACATGCAAATTACTTTCCTATAATTGCTTCCTTCAAGTTATATCATAGAGAGGTCTTATGGAATCTCATCACTTCATATCCCTGAGAAATATTTGTCATATATTTTATAAGGTATAATATGTATCAACAGCTGTCAAGGGTACCTCTTGTGTGCATATGTGTCTATGAATATGCATTTGGGGAGCATGTATATGCTCACAGAAGCCAGAGGACATCAGAGTTATTCCTGGAGAACCATCTACATTGTTTATTGAGACAGGACCTCTTCATTGGCTTGGAGTTTGCTGATTAGGCTAGACTGTCTGGCCAGTGAACTTCAGAGGTCCATATCTCTTTACTTCTCCAGGCTGGTCTTATAAGCACATATCACCATGCCTAGATTTTTTTCCATAGCTTTTGGGAAATGAACTTGGTTTCTCATGCTTGCATGGCATACACTTTGCTGACTTAGCTCTTTCCTCAGCCACACTGGGAAGCAAGCTTATTGCAGGGTTTCTACCAGGTAGGATGGAATGAGTGTTTGTCTTATGGGGACACAAAAATAAATTGGCAGGAACCAACTGTTTTTCTTATTCATAGACTTGGTAGAAGAATTGAGTGATGGGGCAGGCATGATCTTGTTTCTAGTGGCTTCTTTTGTTTACTGGCTCGCACGAGGCTCTGAGAATCAATGCCCAATGCTGTTCCTGTGAGGGACATGATACTTTCTGTCACAGGGCAAGAATCTTGAAGAGAATCTGTTTTCCATGCTCCCCGTTCCCACATTTGACAAACTCAGCTAATGCCCAGAGAACAGTTGTGAATACATATTGTTAGTCCCCCCTCTCCCACCCACAGCAGAGCTTGAGAGTAATTCAGATTCCTAAGTATATGTCTCAGCTCAAGAAAATGTGCAAGCAGGGGCTGGAGTGAATGCTCAGCAGTTAAGAGTACTGCCTGCTTTTCCAGATGACCCAGGTTCAATCCCCAGCACCCACATGGTAGCTCACAACTGTAGGTAACTCCAGTTCCAGGGGATCTGACACCTTAACACCAATGCACATAAAATAAAGTTAGATAAATTATTTTTTAAAAGAAAATGTGCAAGTCACAATTTGGCTCCATGTAGATGGTTAAGCCATGTAAAACAAGCATCTCCAGGCTATTGAGGCACAGTGTCCTGTTGCCCATCCTGGCCTTGTCCTCTTTGTGTTACTGCAGAGTCATTGCATCCACCCTTCCTCTCCCAGTGTTTGGAACAGTTCTCACTTTCCTACTGAGCACATTCTGAGGGTCAGTAAGGCAGATGCTGTCTGAGTTTGACATTTCTTCCTAACTTTTGCATGTTTGACCCTGGTTTAGGTCTCTGAGGCTCCCTTTCCTTTGCCAAGATACGTCACATCACTTGACTCGGGATATACAGACATGGTGCTAGGGGAACAGAACAGTCACCTCCCTCCCCAAACTGTCTAAAGAAGACAGACCCTTCTTTCTAAAATGCATGTGCCAGAACTCAATGTGAAACCCCACAGCTGCTGTAGCCTGGGCTGTGTGGACACTACAGCCTTCCTGGCAGACACTTCTCTCTTCCAGGAATTCTTTCCCTGGGGAGTTAGAGATGAGTCAGCCCTAGGCCTTCCCCAAGTCCATCAGACAGAGTGGGCTGGTGGACTAGGTCACCTGTCTATAGGCTGGTATCCATGATGCTGGAGTAGCAGAGACAGGGGTGTGGGGATCTCAGCATAACAGTCAGTTAATTTTACTTGGAGGCTTTTAACGATGCTACTACAAAATTTATTGTTGTTATTATTTTGTGTGTTTGTTTGTTTGGGAAAAGGTCTCATGTAGCCCAGGCTAGTCTCAAACTCCTGATCCTTCTGTCTCCATCTCCCAAGTGCTGGGATTATAGGTGTGCACTGCCATGCTCAGCTTGCTATGAAACATTTCAAAAGAGCTTTATTGATTTTCCGTGCCATATAATTCCCCCACTTACAGTGTACAATCTAATGGTTTCTAATTAAGTTACAGACTTGTGTGGCCGTTCCTACATAGTTAGGACATTTTCAGTAATCACAACCATGTTTTCCCCAACTCAATTTGTCCTAGGCAATCAACCAACTGCTAAGCTACTTTCTATCCATTGGCTTACTCTGGGCATTTTGTGTAAATAGAATTCTGCAGCATGTGGTCTTTTGTACTCACTATACCATATAAATACTGCACTCCTCTTTTGCCAAATGGCATTCCACTATGTGAGTATACTTCATTATTTATTCTATCAGTTGATTGGTGAGTTGATTCTAATTTCTGGCTTTTGAGAATAAAGAATGTTTCTAGAGAATAGTATATATAAGTGGGTTGTCTTTTTTTTGACATCTGCTTTTATTTCTCTGAGGAATACACCCAGGATTTCTGGGTAATATGGCCACTTTTTAGCTAGTGTGTGTGTGTGTGTGTGTGTGTGTGTGTGTGTGTGTGTGACTTCTAGTGTTTTTGAAGTAGCTGCCTTTCACAGAGATGTGCATGAAAGCGGGTTCATCACCATCCCCAGAGTGACTCTCATTATAATTTGTATATATTGCCAGTGTGGGCCAGAATTTTTGTGCTGACTGGATTGGAAATAAAATCACTGTAGAAACAATTCCAGGACTGTACCTGAAGGAGAGAGTCTTTTCAGAGCAGAACATTCTGGCTTTTCAGGTTATTCTTTTTGAGGCTCCACATCCCTCAGGTCTTACTTGTGGTCCCAAGTTACCCCGGGCAATACATTTCCTAGGAGGTGAGTCAGCCTGGAATGATGGACGGACAATTGTCCAGCATTCTTTGATGCCCTCAAAGTTAAGGGTGGGGAGATGGCTCAGTCAGAGAACTACTTGCTGGCAAACATGAAGACCTTAGGTCAGCCCCACAGAATCCACATAAAAAAATCCAGGAGTGCTTGTAATCTCAGCACCCAGGAAGTGGAGATGGGGATCCCTGGGGATTGCTGTACAGCCAGCCTAGCTGAACTGGTAAGCTCCAGGTTCAGTAAGAGACCCTGTCATAAAAAAATAAGGTGGAGAGAGACCAAGGAAGACACAGGGGTCTATTCAGGCCCTCCAAATGCACATTCACATATAGCCACATAAAGCCCCCCCCCACACACACACTGTTAACTTGCTCTGGAAAATTGATCAGGGGACTGAGTGGAGCCACAGACGCGCACCCCCCCACCCCCTTCTGAGGACGTGACATCTCTTCTTGTAAATGTCATCACTTTCTTGGTTCTATCTGGTAAGAACTGAGTCATGAGGTGCTGACAGAACCCCAGTGGACTTCACATGCAGCCTGGAGCATTCTGCTCATTCCTGAGATACTCACACTGTCAGCCTGCTGTTCAGATGGTAAACAACTTTCCCGGGGTGTGCGTCTGCTGTGGCTTTTCTTGGCTTGTCTGAATGAAGCACAGACCCAGACAATTTGCCTCTGGGGGTGACTTTTAGGGGTGGTGGTGGCTGCAAGATGGTAACACATCGGTGTAATGGCCTCTGCTTTCACCGAGCTCCTTTCCAGAGTGACCCTGTGGAAGAAGGTAAGACTTTGTATTTCCAAAAGGTGGCCCTGAACCAACTTCAACCTTTTGTTTGCAGCCACGGCACAGGGTATGAGAGTGAGAACCACACAACCCCCATCCTCTGTGGTGCCCAGTACAGAATACACACCCATGGTGTCTTCCGAGGCATTCAGGTGAGTGCCCGGATGCCCAGCCAAAGGCTGCCTTCACTGACTCTTCCTCTGCTCATCTGCCCTGCAGCGTCTGCTGCTGGACCACCTGGCCCTGGCAAGGGTTTGTCACCAGAGATGCTCCTCCTTCCACTCCACCCCGGCAGAGATGCTGCCTTGTCTAACTGCCACCAAGAGACTTCTTGCACAATCCCATCCTTCCTCTTTTATTATTAGTTCTGCTTCTCCACAGTGGGTGGTACAATTGCATGTGGGCCATATGCATTTGAATTAGTGATCTGAACCCTTGACTTCTAAGATTTGATCTGTATTGTAAAGTTCTCAAAGGTAGACTGTCTTGCCAAGTGTTGACAATAGCATCGACAATAGTACCACTTATGACTGGACATGTTCTATGAAGTGAGATTTAGACACAGACTTTAAAAACACTGAGTTTATGTAGCTTCTAGGTTTACACAAAATATGCACAGAAATTATAGTGTTCCTATGTCCTTCTGCTGTCACCTTCACATAATGTTACACTTGTTACAATGGATGTTGGTGTATTATTGGTAACTGAATTGCTTTGTTGTATAGACCTATGGGTTTTGATACACATAGAATGCCATTTATTATTATTATTATTATTATTATTATTATTATTATTATTATTATTATATGGAGTAGTTTACTGTTTCAAAAATGCTCATACTCCACCACCTGTACATCATGCCCTTTTCCAGTCCCTCTCTATTCCCAACAGTCACTGTCCCTTTCTCACACTGCTGGCTACTCCATTTCATTTTCAGGCTAACTTCTTTGACTTAGTAATGTGTGTTTATGATTCCATTACATGGTCTTTGTTCTCTGATATGGCCCCGCTGCAAGCTTAAGAGGTAGACATTTTCTAGTTGGGGAAACTGAAGAGAGAAGACAAGGGGCTTGTCTAAAACCACATAGTAAGTGGGGGCTGAGATTTGTAATATATATTTTATTAGACTCCACAATTTTTATTTTGCTTCTTAATATTGTTTATTAGAGGAGATGAAATAATATTGTTCGTTAGAAGAAACAGGAGAGAGAGGTCTTCCGGGTGAACAAAGAATCTCAGAGAATGTAGGTTATTCAGGGGAGACTCCACCCCCATCCCAAACCTCTTGTGGGTAGTCAGAACCACAATTATCAAGGACTCACATCTGTGACTTACAAACCTGACTCAGTGACTGCCACAAAAGAAGTAGCTAGAGTATCCTTTCAAGGGAGGTTAAGACCCAAAAATAAGTTGCATAAGGGCTGGCCTCTATGTGAATGGGCAAGGAGCTCCACTTCATGGCATTCAGTGTGCTCTGTCATCCCAAGTCTTTCCATGGTGAGAAATAAACAAGTCACAGAAATGTGGAGATGTGACAGAGTTTCATCTGAGTGTCTCACAACAGACATCATCAGCACCTTCGCCAGACTGCACACTGACAGTAGTAGCTGTTTTTCAGTCTTAGTCCTACATAGTCTTCATCTAGGATGAGAAGAGATGAATGAGGCTTAATACACCTGCCTTCTCACCAGATGCAGTTTATCAGATCCACTGTCAGGGCCTTTAGTAGATGCCACACCCTATATATGTTTCCCTACTTACTCTTTTTCTTGTAGAATATGACAAACCGCTGGCCTACCATTTACTTGTATCCCACCATTAACCCTAGGAGAAAGGCAAATGGTTGACATACTGTGACATACCGATACAGTATTTATGGTATGACACTACAGAACTTTTTCTTACAAAAAAGAAAGTGCCCTGCTAGGGCAAGGCAAGTGAACTAGGAACAAGAATGTGAGTGGGTAGATTAGAAGACTAATGACATAGGAAGTTATTAAGAACAGTGGTTCTCAACCCTTGGGTTTACATATCAGACATTTACACTATGAATCATAACAGTAGCAAAATTATAGTTATGAAGTAGCAATGAAAATAATTTTATGGCTTCGGGTAACCACAGCATGAGAAACTGCATTAAAGGGTTGTAGCATTAGGAAGGTTGAGAACAACTGGCTTAGTGGATGTTCCAGATCTTTATACCATCACAGATGTGTTCCTGTGTCAGCAGATCATCTCTTTGGTCCTGGTGGGCACACCTGTAATTGAATAAGGAGGAATCATTACTGCTATCCAGGAATCACTGAGCCTGAGGGCAAGAAAAGAGATTTGCCTCCCTTGCTAGATGACAGGGACCAGTAGGTGTCTCGGGAAGGACATGCAAAGAGCACAGAAGGCAGATAGCTTCCAGTGTTTTCCTGTGTCACTGTTAAAGATCACACTGACTGTATTACAGCATTCTGGTGGATTCAGAGGCCCCAAACCCAGAGACTTCTTTATTTACTTCTATTTACATGTGAATCTCAGGTCAGTTTGGGCCTCACTCAGTGTCTCATGTCTTTCTCTGCTAGTAACTTTCTTATCCATTTCCTCCCTCCCTCCCTCCCTCCCTCCTCCCTCACTCCCTCCCTCCCTCCCTCCCTCCCCTTCTTTCTTTCTTTCTTTCTTTCTTTCTTTCTTTCTTTCTTTCTTTCTTTCTTTCTTTCTTTCTTTTGATGTTTTTGAGACAGAGTTTCTCTGTGTAGCTTTGTAGACCAGGCTGGCCTTGAACTCACAGAGATCCACTGACTCCGCCTCCCGAGTGCGGAGATTAAAGGTATGCACCACCACCACCCAGCTCTTATCCATTTTCTCATTGAGTCCATAATCACATGGCCAAGTCTCTAATTGGGAAGGGCATACATACAGTCTGGGACTCTGGATTCTAGACCTCACAGTCTCAAGTGAGAGATAGATTGGGAACTTCTCCTGACACTAATGTTTCTTCTCTAGAGGTTCTATGCTGGGGACCCCAAAGAGGTTTCATTTCAAATCCAAGTTCTGGCGATCAGCAGTAATGACATCAGAACACTGCATCATAGAGTTTCCTATCTATCATCAATTAGTGATGTCTGCCACAGGTTTCTAGGGTATGGAGGCAAACACTTTTTGGTCTCATGCCATACCTGCCTTCTCTTCTTTAGATATATTTCAGTGCTCAGCTTCCCATGGGACTAATATGAATGTTCACATGTGGCAAGGCCTCCATTCTTCTTATATTTTGCCTGCAGGATGTACGACGTGTGTCTGGAGTGGCCCCAACTCTTGTCCGCTCAGCATCTGAGACCAGTGAGAAACGTCCTTTCATGTGTGCCTACCCGGGCTGCAATAAGAGATATTTTAAGCTGTCCCACTTACAGATGCACAGCCGGAAGCACACTGGTAAGTGTGTCCACTGTCCAGACTCGAGTAATGGTGGTTCATGAACTCTCATTCTGGACTCTCACACTGCTAAGGACACAGGTGACTTGTGGGATGGAAGGCTGGCACTTTCAAAGGTCAGGCTACAGTGGCCAAAGCTGCAGGGTTGTTTGCATGAGGGTTTCCCATCTTTTATTAGTGAAATCAGTAAGCAGTCTTCAGGAAAGCAGAACAGGGTGGTGGAAAGCAAATGCCATAGAAGAAAAATGACATGAGTTTGAAAGTTGTATTCACCGCCAACTGGTGAGACCTTGAGCCAATTGCTCAACGTCCCTTTGAACTCCAAGTACTTTGTATGGACAATGAAGATGATAGTGCCTACACTGTGCAATTCTTAAGCCTAGAGGAAAAGGAATCAAATTATACTACAAGAGTTGTAGCATAGGACCCTGTGTCTCTAGGCCTGAATGAATGGTAGCGTGATTTCTGAGGGACTATTAGCATCTTTAGCAGGGAAGACACATCTGGGATAGTACAATCAGATGGTTCAGAGCATGAAGGACAAAGTCACCATAAACCTCGAAGAGTAGGTTCAAATATACACTTAGATGTTCTGGAATTAATTCTGGAGTAAAGAAGGCCATTAAGTTTCCAAGCCTTAAGGCCCATGCCCACCTTTTCTTGTCAGGTTACACTTCCTGAAGGTTCCACCACCTCTCAAAATGGCACTATGAGCCTGAGACCAACACATCAAATGGATGATGGTTTATATTCAAACCATAAGATAGCATTGGCATTTGTGAGGGGTATGCGAGTAACACTTTGATGGGTAGGAATGGGAGCATAAGATGAAGGGTGTTGAGTGAGGAGGGCTCAGGATGGTGAGATCAGCTACACCAGACACATGGAAAGACCAGGGAAGCATCAGAGGTCCTGAGCAGGAAAGGCAACTTGGAGCTGTCCATCAAAGGACAGAATCCACTGACCTCCGAGTAGCTTGCTCTCTGTCCCAGAATCCAGTGACTCAGAATTCCAGGAGGTGGGAACACTCGCAGAAGCTCAGTGCACTCCGGGGGCTATTCTGTCATGTTTGGCTGAAGTTTTCCTTGGCCACAGGGGTGTGGCCCTTCTTCTCTGAGTCCAGAGTTGCACAACCCTACTGCTGACTCGTTGCAGATTAAAGGACAACAGTCTTGCTAAATGCATCTACTTCTGATTTAATTGGGGTGTCTCACCACCATGGAGTCATTTATGTTGGACTCCATGGTGTCAGAGAACAGGAAGTCAGTAGCAGAGAGCACCAAATATTCAGGCTGTAAAACATGAAACACTTAATTCACATGGTCAGTCTCAAGGCACATCTATCCAAAATTCTATCTCAGATTCAACCAAGGAGTCATAACTTTTTTCTTTTCTTTTTTTCCTTTTTAAAATAGTCCCTGCTAATATATGTGTTTTTTGAGCATTGCCTCAGTGTGAGGCACCAGTCTTGCCCACTACAGGGATGGTCTGGTCTAATCTGTTCATGAACCCTTGGACAGTGCCTCAGCCAACATCCTAAATGCCAGAGTATCCTTCTTCCCTACTCCCTGTGTCCATGGACTTGTGTGTAAGTGGGATTTCATCTTCCTGGAAGTCTATAGTGCTACCCTAACAAACTCCCCTGAAATGCTTTGGGAATTTTGGGATCCCTTCATCTGCATTTAGGAGGACTTGCCTGTCCGATTTCCAGCTTTGTACTCAGAAACAACATATGTCTTTCCCTAAGGTGAGAAACCATACCAGTGTGACTTCAAGGACTGTGAGAGAAGGTTTTCTCGCTCAGACCAGCTCAAAAGACACCAAAGGAGACACACAGGTTTGTAGGTTAACTTCTCATTGCCAGAAGTCACAAGCCCTTCGGTTAGAGTTGACTTTGTGCTGTCTTCTCTGTAGAACACGGATGAGAGGGTACTCTATCTATCTATCTGTTTAATTTTCCCAACTTTCTTCCCCTCATATGGAGACTTGTCTTTTGAAAAGGAAAGGGGCTGTGGAAATGATAGCTCAGCAGTTAAGAGCACATGTTCTTCGAGAGGACTCAGGTTCAGTTCCCAGCATCCACAACAGGCAGTGTGTGTAACCATAGCTCCAGAGTATCTGACACTCTCTTCTGGCCTCCAAGGGCACTGTAAACACATGATATACAGTCACACAGAGACACACATAAATGATAAAAAATTAAGTCTTTCTTTACAAAGGAGAAAGAGAAAAGAAAGGAAATGGTTCACACTTCTTAGGAGAACTACAGCACAAGGGAGATGCCACAGCAGGCTGGTGGTCCACTGATGTTCAGTTAGGAGCCAGGATGAAGAAGAGAAGCTGGCTTGCAGTGATCCACTTTCCTCAGTCTCTAACACTTGTCTGCTGGTGAGAACTGGATGTTGGTGGTTAGGAAATGTTTTTTTCCCAAGTCAGGAGCAGCACCTGGAGGTTGCTGACCAGAATCAGGTGACTTCTGCTGGGCCTGGGGATCAAGGAAATGTGAGGTCCAGGTAGACACAGACCTTGCCGATGTGATGGATATGCCAGGCTTCTCAAGCTGCCAGGAAGCTGGCCTTATGTGTCTCACTATGCCCCACATTGTTAGGGCCGAGGCTAGACCTTCTCTGTCCGTTTAGGTGTGAAACCATTCCAGTGTAAAACTTGTCAGCGAAAGTTTTCCCGGTCCGACCACCTGAAGACCCACACCAGGACTCATACAGGTAAAACAAGTGCGTAAACTTTTCTTCACATTTATTTTTCATTATTTTTAAGATACTGTTGAATGAAACTGTAATGAGAGTCATAGAAAAATTCTAGAGTTGCAATTCCATTTAGAGAATGTCTAGCTATCTTTACATGATAAATGATAACATTTTTCAAATAAAGGGCCAGAGAGCACTGAGTAGAAAAGAGATGGGAGGAGAAAGTCCAATGGGCTCAGAACAAAGGCAGGAAGATAAGTTCATCCCCACCATCCCCAGTTTGCTGTATTCTGGTCAACCCTATAGCGTGACCAGAAATTCAAGATATTCTATTCTCCTGAGAGCTCATGTTTCACAGTTCTGATTGGAACGTGTTTACATAAAGCTCCACAAGAATTCTAGGTTTCTTCCAGTTTAACAGAAACTTATGGACATACTTCTTTTATACTAGCACAGAGAGGAGAATGGGGCATTGGCATAGTGACTGGCTGCTGAAGCACTGTCCACAAGGCTGATGAAATTCGTAGTAAAAACTGCCCTTGTGGCATATGAGCTTCCTTAGAAAGCAGAACTGTCTCATAGGTTAGCTCTTCATCTTTCCAGCATCGTAGGAACTAGAGCAGGGAGGTGTTTTTAGTCCTCATTTAACAGATGAGCCTATAATGGGTAGTGATCAAATGATTTACCCAGAGCCTCAAAACAACTGGATGGCAATCTCAGTGGTCACTGTTCTGGTCCCACCTCATCCTTATTGTTCTTTCTCTTGGAGAATAAACATGTGCCCAAATAGCCATCCTGGGAAGCCAGGGAATTGAGGAGAGAGACAGAATAATAGCCAAGCTGAGTGCCACTGGAGGGACCAGTATGAGAAAGAGCTGAAAAGTACCCATGAGGAGGTGAAAGTGGCAGGCAGGAACCAGATCAGGAAAAGCAGATGGACAGTGAGTAGGAGGTGAGAAGGCCATGGCAGTCTTCAGCACAGACAGGTTATACCTTAGGATACCGTCAAAGCACCGTGCCCCAGGTTGACAAGATATAAGTCTCAGTCTCCTTCAGGTATTTTTGACATATTGCCTTTTAGTCCCAAACTCATAGTCTGGAGATTGTTCCTGCACACCTCATTGTCTGCAAACCTGTGCCACCAACAAACTACTTAATGCCACCCAGTCTGGCCTCAAAACACCACATCTCTTGGGACATTTCTTATTGGAACCATCAGTATCCTAGGAAGACCCTCCAGGTGGCACAGGGCTTAGCCCCTGTGGCATTTTCCTCAGCAAGCCCTAAGGGGTGTGACATAGGGATGAGTGTAGGCTTCAGGAATAGACATGCCTGGGTTTGAATCCTGCCTGGCTCTGTCTGCAATAGCCATGCAACTTTGTCTGAGAGTGAAGATAACATTTCTTTGTGAGGCTGTTTTAAGAAACATACAAGGCATTACATACAAGATATCTATTGTCTTTAATGAGAGTGCCTAAGATGGAGCAGTCTTAATCATTTGGTGGAACTAATGTTGCAACCAGAATCTTGTCTCTAACACAGGCTTGTTCTGAGTCATCATTTGCACTAAAAAGAAGCAAATAGGATACAAACTGGTAGCCATGATTTACTTTAAATCATCTATGTGGAGATAATAAAGCTTCAGTCCCAGATCTATTGATGACCAGTCATCAGTCAATGGTATCTAGGATAGTGATCCAGAGTAGCCATCAATCAACAGTATCCAGGGTGATGGTTCAGACCTTTGCAGCCAGCTCCCACCTAGACAGCAATGGGGAAACATTTGCACAGGTCACAGAGTGTCCTTTGAGATGAGACAAAGTTTCCTAAACCCCCTTAATTTATGAGTTGCTTAGAGATTTCCACAAACTAGATTTCTCTCTCATTTCCCAAGTTTTCTATTTTATTATGCTTATAGTGCTTCTGGTTTTCAAGCCCTCAAAAGGCATTGCTAATCCCAGGCTGCCAGTGAAGAGCCAGTTGGTTAGCTTAGGGAATGACCCAGGGGAGTCCAGGGCGGGTGTCTTATGGTGATTTAGCTCGGGCCTTTGATAGTTGAACCTGTGCCCAGTCACTCTGCTGCAAGTGTCTCTAACTGGCAATTGTGTCAACAGGTGAAAAGCCCTTCAGCTGTCGGTGGCACAGTTGTCAGAAAAAGTTTGCTCGGTCAGACGAATTAGTCCGCCATCACAACATGCACCAGAGAAACATGACCAAACTCCAGCTGGCGCTTTGAGGGGTCCGACCGGGGGACAATTCAGCATCCCAGGCAGGACAGTGTGCAAACAGCTTCCAAATCTGATTTTGAAATTCCTCCCCACTCACCTACAAAATGACTTGCTGGGGGATCGTCACCCAATTTCCAAGACAGCACACGAGTTTGGCTATACCCTGTCAGGTTTGCTGGAAGGAGACTGTGCTCCACCTACTCTTGTCTAACTCATAGGCCTGAAAAAGTGGCTCAAGATGTCTTGTTAGTTGAAAGCACGTTGCCATTGGGTCTGAGTTTTCCACTGTTAGAAGAACCATTGTTGCTAATGTCCCCCTACCTTCCTCTTCTCCTTTATGCACATTTTCACCAGGACTGCAGCGATTGTTCCATTTTCCATCATGGGATATTTATAGGCCAGGGCATGTGTATGTGTCTGCTAATGTAAACTTTGTCATGGTTCCCATTTACTAACAGCCCTAGAAAGAAATAAATCAGAGAGCAAGTCACCTGGGGCAAATATCACCCAAAATTCCAGAGGTCAGGCTGCAAACCTGGAATCCTGGAAGGCAGGAAGTAATTCTGCCAGGCAACTTTTAAAGCTCATAGGTTTCAAGTAACTGAATAGTGGATTAGAATTAACCAGAACCTCTGAGTAGAAACCTGAAGTTGTCTTCCTGTTCAGCTACTCATTGTTAACATTAGCACCGTGCTATGAAATAATGATTAAAGAGCAGATTTTTTTAAACAATGTTTTTGATTTATTTTTTAGTTGTAATTAGGTACATCTTCAGAGATGTGCTTTCCTTTTCATGCAAAGGAAGTGGAAGAGTTCATATCTATCATCTGGGGTGTCTTTAGAGTGTAAAGACCACACTGGCTATGTGGCTTCAAGTTGTAAAAATTAAAATGACTTTAAAAGAAACTAGGGGCTGGTCCAGGATCTTCGCCGGTAAGACTGTTCTTAAGTAACTTAAGTATCTTTGACTCTGCAAGTATGTGGGAAAAAAAGATATATTATTGTGAGGAAATCCATTGTTTAAAGGTGTGTGTGTGTTGTTGTTGTTTTTTTTTTTAAAGGGAGGGAGTTTATTATTTACTGTTGCTTGAAATACTGTGTAAATATGTATGTATATATATATGATGTGCTCTTTGTCAACTAAAATTAGGAGGTGTATGGATATTAGATACATCACTGTGTGGATGCCAATCTTACAGTGTATTGATGATAATACTAAAAATGTAACCTTCATTTTTTTTCACTTGGCTGTCAATTAAAGTCTATTCAAAAAGAAAATGCAGGAGTGTATTGGTTGTCTTGTGTTCGAATCTCAAGGCCAGTTGAACTTCTTTTAAACAGGCAATCTTCGATCAACACTGACAGTTATCAGTAATTGCCCATCAAGACCCCTGACCACAGTTGGCTTCTTTCTGTTGGGCTTTGGAAATGATCTATCTTCAGAGTAGCCGGGGGCCACCTCTACACTGCACCATGAAGAGATTGCCCTTGTGGGATGGTTGGGTGGCTTGCTCATGGGGTGGTGGGTATTGTGGTTCAAGACTTATTTTAATCAAATCATCACTGTATCATGTCCAGACCAACAGAAGATATCTAACCCTTTTAAAAAGTTCACTGATACCTTCCCAGTATCAGGAGGCAGAAGCTGAGCATCTAGTCCAACTGAATTTACAACTGAAGCTGCTATGATTCATCCCAGCAGGTGGGAAACTGCTTAGACTCCCTAGGGCAGCCGAGTGTGAAAGCAAAGAGCTACACTCTCTGTGACCTGAAAACCCTCTTTCTGGTTCTGGTGGATGGTTTTCGATGGTAGGGCATGCATTTGTTCTGCCTCGCTCAGCTCCATTATCTTAGATCTTGCAAGCATTCCAGGTTTAACTTCTTCATTTAGAAGGATCTTAAGCACAAAGGAGCTTAGCCTTGGAGACTCTTTGCAGCTCAAAGTCAGGAAAACCTAAAAGCGGGGTCTGGAGGCCCCCTCTTCTTCTGCATCTGGCTCTTGCATCACTGTTAATTATAGCGAGTGCGGTGACTCACATGTATCAGTCTTTTTTATCTTTTCCTGCCAGAAGACAGCATTTCTCTGGAGAAGCTCAGGACAAGCATGGCAGACACCAGTGAGTCAGAGAGTGGGTTTCACAACAAAAGTCTAACCACATTGTTCCTACTGCTCAGGGCAGGTCAGAGAATCAATAATGGCAAGACAATCTGGGTTCAAATCCTATGTCTGCAAGTTTTGTTTTGTTTTCTTATTTACGAGAAAGCAATAAGCCCTTCCTGACATGAGCATGGGACAAATGAAAGCACAATCTAGTACATAAAAAGGCTTCTGAGAATATTTCAGAACTATGGCCCATGAACTCACCTGTTGATTTTCTACATCTCTCGTTCTTTGCTTGCAGTGCCTGGGCATTCCCACAGGTCAGCTCTGCAAAATGACAGAATGTCATTTTCCCTGTACCTTGAACCACAGTGATGATTTGCAACAACTGGGCTTGTTGCCAGCTTCACCACACAGACCGCATCTGCTGGCTTTGTGTCCTTTGCAAAGCACCCGTTGACACTGTGTTTCTGAGACCTGTGGTGCTGACATTCTGCAGGCTGTCAGGAGGCAGCTGCTGGGTGGTGGTCAGTGGGTGCTCCCTGGGGTCAGGCCTGGGGGCTGGTCAAAGTGCACATTTTTCCATCTTGTTTTCCTCTAGTGCCTGGCTCCACACTTCTAGCCTCCCCGGCCCTCTTGGCTGGATCTTTCAATACTATTCCAAATTTCCTGAGCTCTCTCATCTCTGAATCTCTCTAGCATTCAGAGTATGTATCATTAAACAGTACCTTGTGGCATTGTGGTACTTTCCTGTATTCTGTTTTGATCTGCAAGGCAGTCATGTGATGTAGACACGAAACATGTCCCCATTTTGTAGATGAAGACACTGAGTCTTAGTGACTGTGCATAGCTGAGGAATGACTTAGTCTTGGCTCTTAATATCCATTTGCCATCGAAACATGCTTGGTGATGATAAGCCGCCTTCTGCCCCTTTGTTTCATGTCTGTCAGTTGTATCTTCCCAATTAGGATGTGAACTTCTAAATGGCTGCTCTTTCCCCTTCCCCGTGTTACTCTCTTTCCCCTTCCCTGTGCTATTCATGTGATGAACTCTCAGCTTTAACATTCATAGAAGCCACCTGACCAGTTTGCTGAGGTACAGGCTATGTTTTAGAAGCTCTAGCAGACAGCCTGAGCATCTACATTCTGAGTATCTCCCAGATGACCCTTGCTGTGGAGGGCTCTGGACAACACGCATGTAACAAGGACCTATAAGGCGGGCTCAATGCATATTTATTGAAAGGGCCTCAAAATTGACTGGTGAGACTCACACTTGACAATACTAAGATGCACAGAACCATGCTAACCCTTGAGAATCGTCATGGTGGTGGTCCACAGTGCTGTTTTGGTAGTCTATGGTACTGAGGGTCAGAAGGATCATGCAGAAGGCACCAGAGAATCTGCACACACTAGCTCAGGAAACACCTTCCGCCAGGAGGTTACTTTTCACACCCAGTCACTCCATTGCATCTACTTGACAGTCCCAGCATCTTCCACAATCATCCAAAACTGACACGTCAGCTCTGCCACAGCAAAAGCCAACTCCTTGGTACCAACCTCTGTATTAGTCACTTTTCTATTGCTGTGATGAAATACTCGACCAATTTGTGTTGTCATAATTTGTGTTGATGTCGGTGACTCCAATACCACTGAAGGCTGAGAGGAAAGAGCTGTACAAAGTTGGCCCCGCCCCTCACTGGCTGCAACACTAGGGAGAACTGATCGTGCTCCTCACCAGCTGAAGCACTTAGGAGAGAGGGTCCTGCACCTCACCCGGGTAGTATAATAGAGCTGACCCCATTCTCAGAGGCATGGGTGAACTGGCCCTGAGGGCATGAGAATATAGGGGAGCAGGTCATACCCCTCTCATCTGCCATGTGGTGGTATAGGTGAGGGAAAGGTGCCCTCCTCCCCTCGACTCTCAACACCTACAGCAGGTAGGGGACCTGACCCAAACCCTCCCCAGCTACAGCACTCAGGAGAATCGGGCCTTGCACCTGGCCTGGGCAACACAGTAGAGTTGACCCTGTAGACAGGGGTACACATGAGTCAATCTTGAGAGCATGAGAGGGGCATAGCAGCTTCCCTCTCTTCGGTGTGGTGGGTGGGCAAGGGAAAGATGCCCTGCCCTCTTGCCCCCATTGCCTCCACTGGTGAGGGAGCTGACTCTCCCCTTTACCAGCTACAACACTCGGGAAAGCTGACCCTGCACCTCCTCTGGACAGCACAGCAGAGCTGACCCTGTTGACAGGGGTATGTGGGAGGGTATGGGTGTGTGTGTGGAGTGGGGTGGAGGGGTGGGATGTGTATACAGGTGAACCAGTCTGAGAACCTGAGCACCAGCGATCTGGCCACGCCCTCATTTGCAATATGGTGGTGGTGGTGGTGGTGGTGGTGGTGGTGTGTGTGTGTGTGTGTGTGTGTGTGTGTGTGAGAGAGAGAGAGAGAGAGAGAGAGAGAGAGAGAGAGAGAGAGAGAGAGAGAGAGAGAGAGAGAGAGAGAGAGAGAGAGAGAGAGAGAGAGAGAGAGAGAGAGAGAGAGAGAGAGAGAGAGAGAGAGAGAGAGAGAGAGAGAGAGAGATACCCTCCCCCCTTCCCCTTGATGCCAGTGGCAGGGAAGAGAACTGGCCCTGAAGCCATAAGAGTGGGAGAGCTAGCCAGGCAGTGGTGATACACACCTTTAAACCTAGCACTCAGAGGCAGAGGCAGGCGGATCTCTGTGAGGTTGAGACCAGCCTGGTCTACAAGAGCTAGTTCCAGGAACAGCCTCCAAAGCCACAGAGAACCCTGTCTTGAAAAAAAAAAAAGTGGGATCGCAGTCACTGCCCCTCACCGGCTGCAGCACTTGGGAGAGTGGCTCCTGCCCCTCTTCTGGGCGACATAGTAGAGCTGGTTCTGAAGATGTAGGTGTTGGAGAGCTGACCCTGAGGGTGTGAAAGCAGGAGAACTGGCCCTACAACTACTCAGACCTACAACTAGGGTTGTGAGTTGACCCACCCCAACATTCACTCCAATTATGATCTATGGGGGCACATGAAATGGTCAAAGCTACATGATCTCCATGACACACGGCAACAGGACATCCAAAAGGAGTCTCAGTGAGGGCCCAACATCGATAGTATAGCAGAAACCAGAGGTTTTGAACCAGACCAGTGACTCTTTGCAAGGAACACTTGCAAGTAAAGATATATGGATAAAAGGGGGGGAAAAGAGGAAGTGTTTAACTGAGCTTACAGTTTTAGTTGGCAAAGAAAGGGCATAGTGGCGGGAATAGCTAAAAGCTCACATTTCAAAGCCACAAGCAGGAGGCAGAGTGCACTGGGGGGTGGCAGGAAGCTTTTGAAGCCTCACAGTGTTCCCCCATGAGACATTTCCTTCAGCAAGGCACCATCTCCCAATCCTTCCCTAACAGTTCGACCAGCTGGTGACTAACTATTCACACATAAGAGCCTATGGGGGTCATTCTCATTCAAATAATCACAGCACTTTCATCAAACTCAGGCTCTCTAGTGTGTCCTTGAGGGTGTATGCATGCACATGTATAGAACCAGGTTTCTAAGTTAGGGTTTCTATTGCTACAATGAAGTGTCATTTCCCCCCCCCCCCAAAAAAAAAAAAAAACCAAGTTGGGGAGAAAGGGTTTATTTGGCTTTACTTCCACATCACTGTTCATCACTGAATCATTGAAGGAAGTCAGGATGGGAACTCAAACACGGCAGGAAGCTGGAGGCAGGAGCTGATGCAGAGGTTGTAGGGGAATGCTGCTCACTGGCTTCCTCAGTCTGCCTTTTTTTTTTTTTTTTTTTTTTGAGACAAGGTTTCTCTGTGTAGATCCAGCTGTCCTGCTGGAACTCACTCTGTAGACCAGGCTAGCCTCGAACTCACAGAGGTCTTCCTGCCTCTGCCTTCTGGGTGCTGGGATTAAAAGCGTGTGTCACCACCATCAGGCCAACAGCCCGCTTCCTTATAGCACCCAAGATTACCAACTCAGGGATGGCACCACCCACAATGGCCTGGGCCCTCCCCAGTCAATAACTAATTAAGAAAATGCCTTATAGCTGGATCTTATGGAGGCATTTTCTCAATTAAGGTCCTGTCCATTCAGGTAACTCTAGTTTCAGTGTCAAGTTAACGTAAGACTAGCCGGAACAAGGGCTTTCAAATAAGGAGTGG